GTCGCGAGTCCTTTGCTGGGTGCGAGCCTGGACTCTTCTGGTGGCAAAAAACTCCTGGGGCTCTCGTACGACGAGAAGCACCAGTGGCAGCCAATATACGGATCAACGCCGGTGACGCCGACCGGATCGTGGGAGATGGGTAAGAGGTACCACGTGGTTCTTACGATGGCGAATAAAATTGGCTCCGTGTACATTGATGGAGAACCTCTGGAGGGTTCAGGGCAGACCGTTGTGCCAGACGAGAGGACGCCTGACATCTCCCACTTCTACGTTGGCGGGTATGGAAGGAGTGATATGCCAACCATAAGCCACGTGACGGTGAATAATGTTCTTCTTTACAACCGTCAGCTGAATGCCGAGGAGATCAGGACCTTGTTCTTGAGCCAGGACCTGATTGGCACGGAAGCACACATGGGCAGCAGCAGCGGCAGCAGTGCCCACAGTACGCCCTCAACTCCCGCTGACAACGGTGCCCACAGTACGCCCTCGACTCCCGGTGACAACGGTGCCCACAGTACGCCCTCGACTCCCGCTGACAGCAGTGCCCACAGTACGCCCTCAACTCCCGCTGACAGCAGTGCCCACAGTACGCCCTCAACTCCCGCTGACAACGGTGCCCACAGTACGCCCTCGACTCCCGGTGACAACGGTGCCCACAGTACGCCCTCAACTCCCGCTGACAACGGTGCCCACAGTACGCCCTCGACTCCCGGTGACAACGGTGCCCACAGTACGCCCTCGACTCCCGCTGACAGCAGTGCCCACAGTACGCCCTCAACTCCCGCTGACAGCAGTGCCCACAGTACGCCCTCGACTCCCGCTGACAGCAGTGCCCACAGTACGCCCTCAATTCCCGCTGACAGCAGTGCCCACAGTACGCCCTCAGCTCCCGCTGACAACGGCGCCAATGGTACGGTTTTGATTTTGCACGATGGCGCTGCATTTTCGGCCTTTTCGGGCGGAGGGCTTCTTTTGTGTGCGGGTGCTTTGCTGCTGCACGTGTTCGTTATGGCAGTTTTTTTCTGATGTAGTGAGAGAGTCTCCTGACAAATGTAGATAAATTCATAATTGTGCTGTGAACCGTTTGGGTAAATGTGTGTGTGCGCTCTCATAACAAGGAAATGATTTCCAGTAATGTTTTTGTTTTTTGTTCTCGAACTTTTTGAACAAATCTGCGGACAGACGGTGATGAGTAATTTGAATTTGTTTTTCAGCGTGTTTTTGTCACTGACCCTTTGTTTAAGTGGAGACCGCGTTGGAATGCGGCGAGGGCATTTCTCTGTTTTGTTTTTCCCCTTTTTTTCCTTTGTGTTTCTTCAATTTGACGGTTTGCACGCTGTACGGTGACGCGTTTTCCCCTGTGACATAAGGGCCAACTGCTTCACAGTGGCACGAGGGCCTGCTATCACGGCGAGGCATTCAGCGACAGGGTCGCCAGTGACTCACTTTGTGTGGCGCACCTCGAGGAGGTGTCTGGCTGCTGTGGGGCCTCGATGGTTGCCACTTCGCGAGTTTGCAACGAGCCTGCTTCTCGCGGATGGAGCAGCGAAATCTTTTTTTTTTTTTTTTTTTTTTGTTTTGTTTTTTTTTGTTTTGTTTTTTTGTTTGTAAGTTTGGTTCAGTCTCCCTTGAACTGGGGGACGTTGGGCTTATTGAACCAAAATCTGATTTCCCCAAAACTGTTTTTTTTTTGTTTTTGTTTTTGTTTTTGTTTTTGTTTTTGTTTTGTTTTTGTTTTTGTTTTGTTTTTTTTGTGCTGCTGATTTGCACGCCTTCTCACTGTCACCGAAGCCGCGACGGCGGTGTTTGAGTGCCCCCTCACGCTGCTGCTGTGGAATTTGCGTTGCCTTGCGGACATTTCTGTTGGGTCGCATTGCTGTCTACTTTGTTTTTTATTTTTGTGGGTTTGGTGGAGGGGAGTGGGCAGCAGGGGGCGGGCCGAGATGCCTGTGGAGACAGCGACTTTGCGGGGCTCTCTCTCGGCCGTCGTCATTCAACAATCCATTGCGCAGCAGGTTGCCACGAACACCAGCACCGATGTTTGTTTGTTTTCCCACTCTTACCAGCGCGTCTAGCTATACAATGCCATCTGGGTGCCGAGGAGGCGGTTGGGCGGCGACAGGAGTTTCCTGCTATGAAGCAACTGCCATTGGGGGAACTTTTCGCTGCGTAGATCTTCCTCAATGCCCAGTCGTTGGCGCGCAGCGGAGGTGCCTGGGCATTCTAGAAGCAGATGGCGAAAGGTTTCCTGCGGGTCAACTGGCGTGCCTGTGGAAGTTGGCTGATCCTGCGGTGGCAGAGACCGCTTCCTGGCACCACAGGGCGAGTAGCGGTGAGTGTCTTGGCGAATGGTACGACGCCACTTGTTGCTGGGCTGGGTAGTAAGGCATGTCAGCGGGTCCGTGTGCCATATGGGCGCCATTCCATGTTCCGTGTGTTGTCCGCTTGCCATGGTCTGCGTCGCATGCTGAGCCGCAGGCTCGTCAACATGCACTGCACAATGTCCGCAACAAAACTGCCGGTGCACGGACCGGCCGGCACGCATCAGTGTCAAGAGACGCTGCCAGATCCGGTCCTCCGTCCAGTCGGTCTGGCGGAACGGGTCCTTGTTGAGGGCCGCTAGGAGAGACTGGCTTGTGTCACGCCACAAGCGGGGTTT